TGTAGCACTATCTCAGAAGGGGACACTGATAATTGCTGGTTAATCCCTAATAGTACAGAGGCTATCCCATACCGTAAGCACCAGTCCATTCACACCTGCCCCGATAACACAGTCTTGGAGATGTCTTCTTAAGGTTTATTGCTTGAACAAACTTTACCAGGAGAGTGCTTAGGGCATGGGATACTTCAAAACACATAGCAATTAGAAGACAATCTTTAAACACGAATGTTGGACTGCCACAAACCCCACAGCTGGGGACCATGAGGCAAGTCTCTGAACAGTCTAAGGCCTCACAGCTGAAGACCATGAGGCAAGTCTCTTTGGCAACTGGTTACCTTGCGCCTATGCACAATTGCTGGTACCCAGTGCGATCCCCAGAACACTGCACAGTCACAGGGATCAGTTGAGTGTTTTTACTCACAAGTCAAGACAGCTGCCATCTTCCAGCTTCCTCTGGACATGGTCCAGTGAGTGAGACAGTTCTTCTCCGGACCAGACCCCTTGTGGTGAGGTCCTACACTCAGCTTCTAGCAATATCCATCCAGAACCTCAGCCCTGAACTCACTGAGGCCACTAGAAACGCCACATATTCCATGAGGGCAGCAGCCCCTCAGGCTCTGAAACCCTCCTGGGGAGAAGGAACCCAGCTCTCCAGTGCATCAGTCTGTTTATCACCTTTCCAGCCCTCTTCTGGACACTCCTCTTCAGGGATTGGCTGGAGCATGGTACATATTGGGCTGGCCTAAGTTCTGGAAGCTTCTTGCAGAGCCAGAGGGAAGCTATCAAACTCCTAGCCTGTGAAACCCTGAACAGAGCAGGAAAAAGGATCACTGCTCCCTTGATTGCAGAAGGAACCAAAAACTACTTCAATAAAAGTCAATAAGGTTTATTACATCCCCCAGGGGAACTGTGCACATAGTACTTGTCCCTGTTATATTCAGTGCAGTAACTTGTATGATCACACCTTTGTATTCAGAGTTGTGTAATAGGTTACATCTTATTGTGAGTGGAAAACCACGCTTGTTATATGAGGAACCGAAAAATGTAATGAGTGCACTGTTCACACTATGTCCTGATTACAAACTAAATGTCATTCAGTTAAAGTGATATTACATAGTTACATAGTTGGGAAGGTTCAATAAAGACAGCAGTCCATCCAGTTCAACCTGGGTGAGTGTATTTATCCATATGTATTTGCGTTCGCTAAGATGCCCATATAGTTTTTTTTTTTTTTTTTTTTTTGATATTCCCCGCAGACACCACCAACTGTGGAGGGGAGTTACACATCTTTACCACAGTAAAGAACACTTTATGCAGTTTAAGGTTAAACCACTTTTTGTCGTACTTCATTGAGTGGCCATGTGTCCTGAGACTGAATAGTTTCCTTCCTATTCTAGAATCACCATTAAGACAGTTGTATATTGCCATTAAGATATTTGTATATGGTAGGAGCCATAGGAATTCTGTCTAGGTCTTTCCTGCAGCTGTTTTCCCACAGCCAGGTACACAGGCTCATTCACACGTTTCTTCAATGACCAGTCCACTGTAAGGGTGTTGTTTTTTTATTTTTTTATTAACTTGGATAGGGATGAGGGAATTAGCTGGGATACTCCAAAAATATGAACAAGTACAACTTGAGGACTTACTATTCTTCGGGGCAAGCTATAATAAAGTCTGTGCTCGTAGCAAACAATAGACGTCAGCTTTAAGGTAGTAGTAATAGTAGTAGTTAACTATAATCTCTTTCTTAGAACCACAAGACTGGAGTCCCATTTAAGTGGAATATTAGATGGACAAAGCTCCTCAGGACACCAGTCGGTGCTCCCTCTAACTAGACCCACAGCTGACTCTCTAGCACCAGAGAGGTGGCAAAAGCACAAGATCTCATGGAAGTGTCTGTACTCACACAAGGCCTAAGGACAACTGGTTGCCTCCGTCCAACTTCCAAGTGACACCTTACTTCGGAGATACCAGACCAGATTTTCAGCAGACAACCCTCCCAGTTAGCTCTCTTTAGTTCCAGAGTCTCAGCATCCAGGCCCTCAGGTTGCCCACCTGAGGCCTCATGATAACAGACATAACAGCATTGCCTTGAAAGTGTGCTCCACCAGGCTGGACTAATCCTAGACTTCGAGTTCAGTATGCTCACTGAATAAAAAACAAAGAAAAAGAAAAAATAGGCTGCACACCTAATAGGCTAACCTCAAGTCAAGTTTATTGTACTTCACAATGTACAATAAACTTGACTTGAGGTTAGCCTATTAGGTGTCAGCCTATTTTCTTTTTCTTTGTTTTATGTTAGTTGGCTAGGTGGCACCATTCCAGATATTCTGGTGGCACCTCATATATATTTTTAGTGATTGTATGTGGACTCCCCAGCTTTCCTGCTTCCCCTATCCCCCCTCATTTTTTATGATCACTGAATATACAGTATACGGTCTCCCAGTATGCCATCAGAGCCTCTGTCTCTAGGATAGGCCAGGACTGTATCAATTTCCATGCTGCCACCTGCATAGCTCCACACCTATCATCCAGAAACTTCCCAAGCTCTCTGGATGCAGAGGGAGCTATCAGACTGGCAGCAGCTGAACACACTGAGAAGACCTGACTAGCAGAATGCAGCTTCACTGAATACAGCGAGCAAACTATGCTTTTACGTAAGGTACAATCACAGCCACATGCCTACAGTGTGACAATTTAGATTACCTATCAAACACAAAATAAATCTATCTAAATAAACCTAGCACCTATCAAGGAGGGTGCTACACTATCATATCCCCTCTTACGTGTCTCTTCTCTCCGGAGAATACGTTTAATGTCTGTAGTCATTCTTTGTAACTGAGGTCCCCCAGCCCCCTTGTTAGCTCTGTTGCCCTTCTCAGGACTTTCTCCAGTTCCAGCATATTCTTCCTGAGGACCGGTGACCAGGATTTTTTTCTTAAAATCTCACCGCGGTCAGAATACAAAACAGGAGGATTCCCCAGGTTACATCGAGTGTGTGGGTGGAGAAATCTAGTCACTTTGAACAAAACTCATGTCAGGTTGAACGAAAAAAGCTGACTCGTCTATGGCCAGCCTTTCATTGGTCTAAGCTGGTTTGAGATATATTTTAAGCAGAGGTTGCCTCAACCCTTAGTCCTCATGCACACTGGACGTTTTTACAGCGGCTGTTTTTTTTGGCTTTTGACATTTTTTCTACAGCTAGTAAACCCCCCAGCGTGTTATCCTATGTGTCCATGCACACATAGACTGGAATCAATGTTTTTTGGCTGGGAAGTTTTTTGGCTGGAAATAACCCCAGAACTAGTGGGTTTCTAAAGGAGTTTTGTAGCTGTAAAAATGTTCTAACGCTGAAAAACACGTCAAAATGCAGTTAAACGCTGCAAACCTGCGTTTTTGGACTTTTTTGACTGAAAAAATAATTTTTTGTGGTAAAAAATGCAAACGTGGAAAAAACACAGCTAATCGCTGCAAAATGCGTCTAAATGCTAATGCAAAAAACACAAAAAAAAAAGCTGAAAATCTCACTCTTTTAACATGACTTTACACAGCTACCAGTGTTATTAAAACGTCCAGTGTGCATGAGGACTAATCAGCCATCAGAATCATGTCACAATAAATGTTCAAATGTTTACACTCTTTAAATTGCATATTTGACAGCTTTCCTTTCATGGGGAACTGTCTGTGAGTGAGGCTAGACTGCAATCAATGTGGAATGTGCCATATGACTGTGGTCATGTGGAGACGGGTGATGTAATGCCATATTATGAGAACTCGAGGATAAAGAGAAAATATATTTTTTGGTGTAAATTATGATGTTTTTTTTTTAAGATTCTAAGGAACCTGGGCAAATAATTATGGCCCCACACTACATCTATGAAGTTAATCTTTACTGTATAGTGAAAGGAGAGTTTAAAGAAAGTCAACTCCACCCAAAACAATATAGAGCACGCAACAGCCAATCCAATTTCAGTGACTGTGTGTTTTAGGGTAGGAAAGTGCATAATGCTCAGAAAGCTTTAACCGCTTCCCCACTGCTCTATAGCAAAAAAAATCACAGCTATAGGGCAGCACGCGTGCGCAAAATCACACACACACACACACACACACACACACATATACAGTGGGGATCAAAAGTTTGGTTCCATACCTCTGAAGATGTGCGTGCGCACGTAACGCGTAAGGAGGAGCCTGGACGTCGAGACGCTACGCCGCCGGTGCCACGTGGAGGCCCGGCGGCCACTATTCAAAGTATCAGGGTTAGTTGTCTTGCTGACACATCTGTATGATACCTGCCTGCTTTGAATTGGATATCATTATTGTGAATAAAGCTGCTTTTATTACCTACTTCACTATGGGTGTCCTTCCCTAAAAACTCCCTTGAGGAGCTTTTACTTGCAGAACCTTGGTCTTGGAATTCTACATCTAATCGTGTTAAGGAAGATCGGTTGCTGCATCTGCGGAGGAGGGATTCACCATTCCTGTAACCGGATCAGCTTTACTTCCCTCTGGATTGAAGATCCTTGAGTTTTATATACACACTGCGAGCGTTTATGTGTCTTACTTCTGGTGAGTGCGTTTTCCAGCCATTTCCACACGGATCACCTATTTTGAATCCACATCAGACACTGGATACGTTTATATGTCATAGACTTTTAGTGGACTACCTTTTTGTCATTTTGTCATTATTTTTCAGCGCTGCACTATTTTTTATGTTATTGCTTTTAAGTGTATTGGTTGCTTAGAGTGCCTAGCCGCTTTCAGGATTAGCGCTCACTGCTGTTTCTTTTTATATATATATATATATATGTGTGTGATTTTGCATTTCTGGGTAGGGGGTGCGCCATTGCAGCCTCACCTGTCAATCACTGGCTCCTGACCTGTGTAAAACACACAGGCCACTTAGTAAAACAGCACACAGTTAACCCTTTGATTGCCTCAGATGTTAACCCCTTCTTTCCCAGTGTCATTAGTACAGTGTCAGTGCTTTTTATTAGCACTGATCAGGGGCGGGCTGACAACTCATGGGGCCCCCGGGCAATAGGGGATCATGGGGCCCCTTTGTTCTTGCCCAAACTCAAAAAAGCCTATGAAAAAAGGTACCAGGGGCATCTCATGGGGCCCCATACTGACCCCGGGCCCTCGGGCAGTGCCCGAGTTTCCAAATGGTCAGTCCGCCCCTGGCACTGATCACTGTATTAGTGTCACTGGGGATGTCAGTGACAGTTAGTCAATTCACCCTCAGTGTCAGAATGTCCGCCGCAGTCCCGCTGTCCCGCTATAAGTCGCTGATTGCCACCATTACTAGTATAAAAAAAAATTCCATTATATATACTACCATTTGTAGATGCTTATAGCATCTTTTACGTAAACCAATTAATTTACACGTATTGGGATTTTATTTAGCAAAGACATGCAGCAAAATACATTTTGGCCTAAATTTATGATGAAATTTGATTTTTTAAATTTTTTTACTGGATAGGTTTAATAGCAAAAAGTCGAAAATATTGTTTTTTTTTTCTCAAACTTGGCAGTATTTTTTTTTTACAGCGCAAAAAATAAAAAACGCAGTCAATCATATAGCACCGAAAGAAAACTCTATTTGTGGGGAAAATATTTGTTGGGTGCAGCTTTGTATGCCTGTGCAATTGTCAGTGGCGTAATACAAAAAATGAACTGGTCAGGAAGGGGGGTAAATCCTCTGGAGGGCAAGTGGTTAAAGTGCTATTAAACCCAAAAGCAAACATTTTTTATATTGCAGCTTACCCATTTTTAGGTGTGACAGCTGCATTTGTTTTCTTTTTTAGGATTTCTTTCTTTTATTTCCATCTGGTAATCCAGCCAGCAAGTCTGTTTTTTTTTTTTTTCAAAAGCAGAAGCTCTTCAACAGAATATATCATCTCACATGGATGAGGCAAACCGTTAAACATACAAAACCTTTATCCCACAAGGAAACCAAATGTTGCTGTAACTGACTATAAAGTGTGAGCTGAAGTTTGGCTTCAATTTGTTACTGTTTTTAAATCTGCTGGTACATTTAACTCTCCCCTCCCCTCAGACTGATGTCTGTTGTCTGTGTTTCATCCATCCAGAAGACAGGTCAGATCACCAGTTGAAAATAGAGGGGGAAAAGGCAAAGAAAAGAAAATGGATGCAGCTACCACTTCTAATGGTTAGTAAGCTGCAATATATTACATTTTTGGGTTTAATACTGCTTTAAAGACAAACTTCAGACACAAAAAAAGACTACCTTGTAGTGGGGGCCCGCAAAACTCCAAGAATCAAATGTTTATTTTTGCCCCAACATACCCCTTCCTGCAGCCTTCTCTCTAAGGTGCTCCCAGGCACAGTCTCACATCTGCCTCCTCCATCGTACTTAAGTCTGCTACAGTCGCACCCTGCTATAGTCACAGCAGAAGCAAGGGTGACAACGGTGCACTAAATGGAATAGCAGTGTCACCCTATTAAAGTGATGAATCAGTGATTTTGATAAAAGGGTAAACAGGTATGCTATGACATGCTGGGAGGGAAGGGGATGTGCAAAGGATGACCTGAATTTTCTAGCAAGTTGAAAAGCACATTAAAAGTACATACGAAATAATTTAAGAAAGGAAAATGCATGTAAAATACTTGATTTTCCTTGCAGTTTTTTAAATTGGTGACAGGTTCTCTTTAACACTCCCAGCCTAGCCCCTGTCCGACAGCATATGTGATTGGCAGCCCATTCACTCTTATGCTACTTGTCTTGCACCTTTGAGGTTCAAAGTCGCATGACAAGTCGACCCCCATGTTTCCCAATGGATACCATTCATATCAGTGCGACTTCAGGTTGCAGCAACTTCAAACTAGTTCCTACACTACTTTGGTCTGACTTTCATGCGACTTGAGGGCCACAGACTTCAATGTAAACCCTCCAAAGTCGCATGAGAGCCACAACTGAATGTTGTACATGCGACTTGTGTGCGACTTTGTATAGCAGAAACCATTATCCTTGGTCAAAGCCAAAGTCGCACTCATCCAATGTCGCGTCAAACTTGCATCAAGTCGCACTGTAAAGTCGCAATGAAATCTGTGAGACTCCTGCACTACATTGTGGCCCTCAAGTCGCATGAAAGTTAGACCAAAGTAGTGCAGGAACTACTTTGAAGTCTCACAGATGTGAATGGTACCACGGATTGCATTTTACTAAAACACATAAATGTTAATAGGCACACATTTTTTCTCCTTTTAGGGTCCATTCACACTTGTGCGACTTCAAAATCCTGCGGTTTTCATTGCAACTTTAAAGTGCAACTTGATGCAAGTTTGATGCGACTTTGGCTTTGACCAAGGATAATTGTTTCTGCTGTACAAAGTCGCACACAAGTCGCATGTACAACATTCAGGTGCAGCTCTCATGCGACTTTGGAGGGTTTACATTGAAGTCTGTGGCCCTCAAGTCGCATGAATGTTAGACCAGACTTCAATGTAAACCCTCCAAAGTTGCATGAGAGCCGCACGTGAATGTTGTACATGCGACTTGTGTGCAGCTTTGTACAGCAGAAACAATTATCCTTGGTCAAAGCCAAAGTTGCACTTATCCAAAGTCGTGTCAAGTTGCAATGAAAATCGCAGGATTTAAAAGTCACACAAGTGTGAATGGACCCTAAAAGGAGAAAAAATGTGGGCCTATTAACATTTATGCCTTCTAGTAAAATGCAATCCGTGGTGTGTTGCAGTAGTATTCATTTAAAGTTGCTGTCGCGTTGCACTGCAGAACAATGGAAATCACATTATTTTCTATGGTGCCAGTTCACATCAATGCATCTCAGCTACAGTACATTTTTTGAAAAGGTACAAGCACTTCTTTGGTACAGTTGCAGCGTTATTATGGCCCCATGGACTTTAATGGAAATGCATAAAAAATGTGTGTAAATGCATGTACATGATTTTTTTTCTAGTATGTTATACAGTTGTGTTCAAAATAATAGCAGTGTGTTGAAAAAAGTGAATAAAGCTCAAAATCCTTCTAATAGCTTTTATTTCCATACACACAAATGCATTGGGAACACGACACATTCTATTCCAAATCAAAACATGAAGAAAAATATATCAAATTTGTGTTGTTCCTCTAAAAAATTTGAAGAAAAGTGAATATTAGACTGTTCAAAAAAATAGCAGTGTTTGTATTCTTCTTTACAAACTCAAACATTCACTATATAAAAACTGAAAAATGTTTGAAGATTTTGCTTTCCTTTGAATCACTTAATGAATATTTCGTTGTATAAGCACTGTTTCTGAGAACTGCTGTACATCTGTGTTGCATGGAGTCAACCAACTTCTGGCACCTGTGAACAGGTATTCCAGCCCAGGATGATTGGACTACATTCCACAGTTCTTCTCTATTTCTTAGTTTTGCCTCAGAAACTGCATTTTTGATGTCACTCCACAAGTTTTCTATTGGATTAAGATCCGGGGATTGGGCTGGCCACTCCATAACGTCAATCTTGTTGGTCTGGAACCAAGATGTTGCACGTTTACTGGTGTGTTTGGGGTCATTGTCTTGTTGGAACACCCATTTCAAGAGCATTTCCTCTTCAGCATAAGGCAGCATGACCTCTTCAAGTATTCTGATGTATTCAAACTGATCCATGATCCCTGGTATGCGATAAATAGGCCCAACACCGTAGTATGAGAAACATCCCCATATCATGATGCTTGTACAACCATGCTTCACTGTCTTCACAGTGTACTGTGGCTTGAATTCAGTGTTTGGGGGTCGTCTGACAAACTGTCTCCGGCCACTAGACCCAAAAAGAACAATCTTACTTTCATCAGTCCACAAAATGTTGCGCCATTTCTCTGTAGGCCAGTCAGTGTGCTCTTTGGCAAATTGTAACCTCTTCAGCACATGTCTTTTTTTCAACAGTGGGACTTTGCGGGGGCTTCTTGCAGATAGCTTGGCTTCACATAGGCGTCTTCTAATTGTAACAGTACTCACAGGTAACTTTAGACCTTCTTTGATCTTCCTGGAGCTGATTGTTGGCTGAGTCCTTGCCATTTTGGCTATTCCTCTATCCATTCGAATGGTAGTTTTTTGCTTTCTTCCACGTCTTTCAGGTTTTGGTGGCCATTTTAAAGCATTTGCGATCATTTTAGCTGAGCAGCCTATCATTTTCTGCACTTCTTTATATGTTTTCCCCTGTCCAATTAACTTTTTAATCAAGATACGCTGTTCTTCTGAACAATGTCTGGAACGACCCATTTCCCTCAGAATTTCAGAGAGAAAATGCACTGTAACCAGCATGTACTACATTTGCTGCCTTCCTTCCTTAAATAAGGGCAATAATTGCCACCTGTTTTTCAAAGAATGAATGACCTCACTAATAGAACTCCACACTGCTATTATTTTGAACATGCCCTTTCAATTAGTGATTCAATTACACAGAATCAGCAACATGCATGTCATGACTGTTGGGTCTGTTGGATTTCTATTACTCTACTACACCTGCTAGTAAATTATTTGTCATGTAGAAATATAATTTCTACCAAAAACAGTGATTGATCAGGTTAGTGATGTCTGACTGCTATTATTTTGAACACAACTGTATGTATAAAATTCATTCTCCTTCTCCTACATAAAAAATGTGTCAAAAACGTCATACATAAATACGCTGCAAATGACATCATGCTGTAGCTGCAGCAGTGTGAACTCGGGCTTAAAGCGGAGTTCCACTCACTCTGTAAAAAAATAAAAGTCAGTCGCTACAAAAACTGTAGCGGCTGGCTTTTAAAAAACAGCCACTTACCTGTCCCACGATCCCACGTTGCCCCCGCTGCAGCCCGTTTCACCGGCCGTCCTGTATTCCAGGCGCTGGCATTTTCAGTGTGGGCACCCGGTTGTGACAGCTTGCGGCTTTACAGCTGGGTGCCCACTGCGCATGCGCAAGTAGCGCTGCGCTTCCTGAATGGCCCCGTCGTCTTCTGGGACCTGTCACGTGTCCCACAAGACTTTGGGGGGAGGGAGTACACCTTCCATTTCCAATCACCTAGGAGATCGCAGCGGAAGTGGGACTGGGTCCCTGTCAAATTCAGGAACCCGTTCCCCCCCGCTCCCCACAGGTGCCAATATTTAATGGGGACCAATCTTTAAAGTGGAACTTCCCCTTTTGGGTGGAACCCTGCTTTAAAGTAGTGGGCGAT